CTCCTGGACAGGCTCCAAAGCTACAGAGAAACTCTATCTCAGAAAAAAAAAAGAGTTAGCTAGAAATATGCATGAGCTAATTGGCCAAGCAGTGTTGTAATTAATATAGTTTTTGTGTGATTATTTCGGGTCTGGAAGGCTGGGAAATGAGTGAGCAGCCTCCACCTACACAGAGGTAGGCAGATCTCTGTGAGTTTGAGGCTAGACTGGTCTACAAAGGGAGTTCCAGGACAGCCAGAGATACACAGAGAAATCCTGTATCAAAAAAAAAAATTTTTTTTTGAAAAAATCTCTTGGTTCTAAGAGAATCTATTTGGCTACCCCTCCAAATTACTGTCCTCCATTATTGGACTGCTAATATGGCCACTAGACAAACAGCCCTAAGACCAGTGGGGCCTATTGATATTCTGATGACCTAGTATGACCCAGTGCTGTCTGAGACTCCATGGTAAAAAAGGAATGGACAACTCAAACCCACAGGTTGGTGGAGGACACAGCTGGCAAGACTCTGGTAACTGACTTTCACCATGCTATTATCTGGGGTCCACAAAACTTTCTGAGTTGCTCAGATCAAGGTGCGGCTTTTTTGTTTGTTTGTATGGTTGGTTGGTTGGGTTTTCAAGATAGGGTTTCTCTGTGTATTCCTGGCTGTCCTTGAAGTCATTCTATGGACGGGCCTGGTCTTAAACTCAGAGAATTGCCTGCCTCTGACTCCTAAGTGCTGGGATTTTAATCCCACCACCCAGTCAGACCAAGGTATGTTATACCTAAACTAGACAACCTAACTTGGGGTGTCTTAGTCAGGTGCCAGGTTTGTGCTCAAGTGGATCCAAAATGGAGAGCCTTGCCCAGGAAGAAGTCCAACTGAGGGACCAACGCCACCAAGCTCCGACCTGCTGAGGGAGAGTAAAAGCCCTTGCTAGTCTTTATAAATACCTTTTCAGAGTGGATAAAAGTGTTCCTCGCCCTGACAAAACTGCTCAAGAACCAGCTTTAAAAAACTCCTCAAGGAAACTAGTTCCCTGATTTGGACTCCCCCTAGCAATGGGGTCTAACAATAGCCTGGCTTTCATAGTCAAAATATCTCAATGAATAGCGAAAGTTTTAGACATACATCTAAATAATTGTGCATATAGACCTCATAGTTCTGACCAGGTAAAAAGGAATAAGCAGAGCATTAAACAAACAAACAAACATACAAACAAACAGACTCTATCCAAACTCTCAGAGTCCAGGACAGAAGGGGTAAGCCTCTTCTCTTTGTTTTGATCCACTGCTCCCAATATAGGGAGGGATTTCCCCCTGTGAGACTGTGTTTGGGGGCCTCCCCCACTGCTCCCCAGGCTCAGAGACAGTAGCTAGAATTCTAATCATTCTTTCTCAAGTCACCCCAAGCCCCCCAGTTGTCCATACAGGCTGTTCACTGGACTGTCCTAGAGACCCAGTCCACCTCTCAGCCCAGTGACTCAGTGACCACCAGCCTCCCCTTGTTCCAGTCCGGTGACACTGTCTGGGTAGCCAAATGGGCACTGAAATCAACTGAAAAGGACTCTGCATGGTGATTCTCTCTGTTTCTATGGCTATAAAGGTAGCTGGCATTGTACCATGGATCCACCACACACAGGTCGAGAAAGGAAGGAAGGAAGGAAGGAAGGAAGGAAGGAAGGAAGGAAGGAAGGAAGGAAGGAGAGACACGGATACTGCCAATGGACTGCCTCCTGACTATGTACTAACGGAAATTAAGGTTTTACTGAGGCTCCAGGCCCTTCCACTCCCTGCCCCTCTACCCCATCCTGAGAAATGTGTTTGGTATGAACATTTGGTATGGTCCAGCCCTTACTGCCTTCAGTCCTGCTCCTGGGGACTAAGAGAAACAGATACAGGGAAGGTATTAGCTGCTGTGACTACAGACCAGCAATCTATACTTACTTTGACCTTTGCTCTCTGATGCGACTTTAAATATCTGAGTGTATCGGAGAAGAGTTCTATGCTTGCCCTGTGGCTGGGCCTCTGGTTACCAGAAACAAGGGATTTTCCATTGCAAAAACTGGGGTTACAAAACTAAGTTTTCCTGGAAATTTTAAAAAAAGATTCTGGCCTTTAAAAAAGCAGGAAAAATGTGGGGAATCAAACTCTCTGCCACAGAAAGGAACCCTGGGAATAGAATTAAGGAATCCTAGCAAAGACTCAGCCAGGGTTCCTGGTTGTGCTTAGCACCCAGCCCCCATAATACATAGGACAGGATGTAAAAAACTCACTGTGACTTGGGACAGCCCAAAGTGATGCCAGAGGACTTACAAGGGACTGGGGCTTGTCTGATATTCTCTAACCTAGGCACCTCCCCTTATTCTGCCGTGCGGATCACTTCATACGGATAGCAGCAGTATTACTGAGCCCCTGAGAGCTCTTGGTCTCTGACTCATTTGACCAAACACATTTCTTCTGATGCTTTCCAGACTAAGTAGACAGGCTGATCAGGACCAAGAGGCATTAAAATGACAGTTAGAGTCCCTTGCAGAAATTATCCTACAAAATTAAAAAGACTTAGACTTACTTCTCACTTCTTACTTCTCTTCTTACTTCTTACTTCTTACTTACTTCTTACTTTTTTCTCATAAAGAAAACTATGTATGGCTTTGCGAGAACAAAACAAAACAAAACAAAAATCTGTTGTTTCTATGCTAAATGATCAAGAATAATTTTTTTAAAAAAAATTCTGCTGAATCTCTGTGAGTCTGAGGCCAACCTGGCCAAACTTACTTCTCATGAGATAAGAAAACTGTGTATGGCTTTGCAAAAACAAAACAAAAATCTGTTGTTTCTATGCTAACTGATCAAGAGTAATTAAAAAAAAAAATCCCGCCTTGACGAATCTCTGTGAGTCTGAGGCCAGCCTGGTCAGACTTACTTAAAATTGTTTTATTTTCTAAGATTTAACTATATGTGACACAGAACTTAAAATTATGATGCTAAAAGAAAAAAAGGCAGGCACACACCTTTAATTCCAGCACAGGAGGCAGAGGAAGACAGATCCCTGAGTTCCAGGCCAGCCTGGTCTACAGAGAGAGTTCCAGTATCGGTGGGGCTACACAGAAAAACTCTGTCTCAAAAAAACAAAACAAGGGGCTGGAGAGATGGCTCAGAGGTTAAGAGCACTGACTGCTTTTTCAGAGGTCCTGAGTTCAATTCCCGGCAACCACATGGTGGCTCACAGCCATCTGTAATGAGATCTGACACGCTCTTCTGGTGTGCAGGAAAACATGTTGTATATAACCAATAAATAAATCTTAAAAAAAAACCAAACCAAACCAAAATAAAATAAAATAAATTACAAAGCTGGTAAAGCAGTTTTGTTGGGTGTTCTCTAAGATGTGCAGGTTTCCACTGGTGAGGATAAGAGGAGGGTCGAAAAGGACAACCAATATTTTGGCCCTCGCCCTCCCTGGTTAGCTAAGACCCAGGTGTGGGGTTTGAATGTAATTGGCCCCCACTAAGACCACAGGGTGTGGCACTCCTATTAAGAGGTATGGACTTGTTGGAGTAGGTGTGGCCTTGTGGGAGGAAGTGTGCCACTGTGGAGGTGGGCTTTGAGGTCTCATATGTGCTCAAGCCACGCCCAGTAAGGCAGAGTACTTCCTGTTGTCTGTGAGTTAAGATGTGAAGACTCTCAGCTCCTTTTCCAGCACCTGTCTACCTGCCCGCTGCCTTGCTTCCTGCCATGATGATCATGGACTGAACCTCTGAACTGTAAGCCACCCCAATTAAATGTTTTTCTTTTTAAGAATTGCCATGGTCATGGTGTCTCTTCACAGCACTAGAAACCTAACTAAGCACCAGGGAACACTGGGACCCCTTCTAATAGGTTTTCTTCCTTTCTTCCTCTTTTTTTTTTTTTTTTTTTTGAGACAGGGTCTCACTATGTAGCCTTGACTGGCCGGGAGCTTGCTACTGAGATCAGGCTGACCTCAAACTCAAGAGCTCTTCCTGCCTCTGCATCCCAAGTGCATGGCCACCATGCCCAGCTCATCCGTCTTCTTGACCAGGGAGGCCATAGAGTCTCCAGAGATTAGACTGTAGCTGGTGCCCATCCTACGGGAAGGAAAGTCAGTGGACAGGGACATGACGTCATGTGGTCAGCAGGATCCTGACCCATCCCTTGGGATGGCACAAGTAGTAGAGAAAAAACTAAAGGAGTCAGGATAATTCACTTAGCTGGGCATGCCATTAATCCCAGCACTAGGGAGGCACAGGCAGGGAGACCTTTGTAAGTTCGAGGCCAGCCTAGTCTACAAAATGAGTTCTAGGACAACCAGGGCTGTTACATAGAGAAACCCTGTCTCAAACAAACAAACAAACAAACAAGCAAACAAGTTACACAACACACACACACATGGTCACTCATTCAGTACTAAAAGTATGGCTGCTGTCATAGTCACTAGTTTGGGCAGCTAAGGTTCTAAGCAAACATAACTCCCCTTACCTAAATCCCTGCCTCATGTGTCTGGCTGTAGGTACACTGTGTTCCTCGGGTCCGTCTGCCTGGCCTGTCTCCCTCCCCCACCAAAACATTATAGGAGTCCAGGAGCCTGTTCCCTGTAAGAATCCCACAGGCCTATATGCTATTCTCGTGGCTTTCTGTCCTAGGTAGATAGCAAGCAGGAATGGAGGCACTGGATACCCACAACCAGGCATACGCAAACTGCTCCCTCTCCCGACCCTTTTTATCCCACAGAATGGGTCTTCAGAATCTGGCACCTTTGGACCCCTCTAGCCCTAATTCCTTAACTCTGGGGCAGAAGGGTGGGTAGTAGGGGTAAGTCCCCACTGTGGAGGGTGAGGGTTCGTCCTGTCTTTGATCCTCCTCCAGTCCAAGTCCCTTATAGAGGCACCACCTCTCTCTGGAGGTGCAAGAGAAGATCCCAGGCCCACGCTCAATGTCTATCCACCAAGGCCCCCAGGGAGGTCGTGACTGTGGAGCAATCACACCGTCAGGGAAGCCAGAAGGTTTGAAAAAGACTTTAATTGGCTTTTATCTCCAGAACTTTCTATTCATGCCTGGGCTCTAGGGCTCTGGACTAGTCCCTCAAGTTTGAGGGTTCAGACCAGAGAGAGAATGTGCAAGCAGAAGTTAGGTCTCCCACATAAGGTAGAGTATCTCCCTGGCAAGGGAGCCCAGGGACTGGTGCCTCCCTCCTGCCAAAAGCATGCCGAAGGTCACAATGCTGTTCTTTTCCATGGGGAACACCAGGACTTGCTTCTCCCATCGGTGGGCTGTGGGCTGCAGGCAAGTGGGCATAGGCCAAGGAGTCACTGCAGCGGAGGTGAGGAATGGGGACCGGGCACCGGCGCCGACAGCGAGGAGTGGTCAAACAGTGGGTTGCGCACCTCCATCTCCCCTGTCTGGGAAGACACTGGGTTAAGCACCCGGCAGTAAGGCCTGAGACAGCAAGCAAGATGAGGAGAAGTTCTCATAGATAACCCCCCTCCACACTCCTAGCGCACTCACAGGTGCCAGGCCTGGGCACTCATACACTGTGAAGTCACCATCTTCGTTCTCCTCATCAGAGGAGGCTGACTCCAGTTCCTTTGGAGGTTCCTTATGCCTGGTGGGGGCGAGATAGCTGGGTCCTCTGCACACTCTCCAGGGGACAGGGGTTCAGAGGTGGGTGCTCAATGGACTGTTGCCCTGGGTGGGGGCTGTGGGCTAGGATAAAGGGTTGCAGGGGCAGGGGGGGAGCCAGGAAGTAAGAAGGTGGGGAAGGGCGACCAGGTGAGGTGTGGGTAGAGTGGAAGCACTGGGAAAAAGTGGCTGCCACTTCAGGCCAGGGACGCTCACCGCTCCAGGCACAACATCTGCTGTCTCTGGTGCTGATAGTGATACATCTCAGCGCTGTGCGCCAGCCGCTGATCCCCAGGCTGTGGAAGGGGGCGGAAATGTTAAACAAACACTGGGGCCCACAGGCTAAGAACGCGCCTGATGGGGGAGGAGCTATGTACGCACCGAGATTCGAGGTGACGCAGGTGAAGTGGGCGCCTTGGTTGTGGCAGCATAGTCGGTCTTCTGAGTCAGGCGGATCTCTCGCTGTAGCCTGAAGGGGTTTGGGGTTGAGAGGGGTTGTTAGGGAGCTGAAGGTCAGACCCCACCCACCGGCTGGTGTCAGCGGCTCACCTACACCAGCAGAGGGCTGCCACTGCCAGGGCGGCTGTGCTCGCCAAGCAGAAAGCCAGGATCAGCACTGTGGGAGACAGAGGCATTGTGAGGAGCCACCCGAGGAGGGTCCTTAGTCTGCACCCGGCCCCATCCCCTTTGTGCCTCCTCCTTCACCCACCACATGCCTGTCCCTTGCTGCCAACCTGGACCTACCAAGGGTGAGGCCATTTCCATGCCTGCCCCGGGACTCCAACGGGGACATGTGCACAGGCCCAGAAGATACAGGGGAGCCCAAGGAGGCGTGGGGTGTGGGCAGGGAGGTTCCGTGAGTGGAGGGGAGGCCAGGTTCCAGTCCTTGACCCCACTTTGAGAATCCCTGGGTAGCTGCTGAGAGGCAGGCACATAAAGTCAGCAGGACCTGGCCTTTAGTCAAAGAAGCAGGGTCAGGAAAGCCAGCAAGGGTCCTCACCGGGCTCCAGGAGGTTCTGCGCAGCCTCAGGCCAGGGCTGTGCCGTAAGCTGCGAGTGTTCAGCCTCCTTCTCCTTCAGTGCCAGTTCCTGGGCCAGAGAATCGATCTCTTCTTCCAGTCTAGGCCGGGCCAGGTCCTCCCCTAAGGAATGTGAGGGGCCATCATAGAGAAAGGCCCCAGACCCTTAGACCATACCTGCAGCAAGCAGCCTCCTGAGATGGAGGGACCCATCCAAAGTTTCACCATCCTGGGTTACCATGGTGACAACTGAGGGAGCTTCTTTAAGTCCCGGGGGATGGGGGTAGGGGGTGGAGAGAACGGCTAAGGAAATGTGCAGAGATTCACAAAAGGAATGGAATCCTTTAACCTAGCTAGGGTGCCCGAAGAGCTGGGCAGAACACCGACTGAGACAACACATTTCCTACCTTGCCCAACCCCAGGCACCTTTTCTGCCCAAGAGGAGATAGGAAATCCTGAAGGAACAGAGAGAAGCCAAAGTATACTCAAATACCTAGGTTACTGCCACCATCAGAAAAGAAGGAGCCTATAGGGGTGGGTAGGTTGTCGGGCCCTGATTGGTTCTCACTGTGTATCTCACAGTCCAAAAAGAAGCTGCCACGTGGGACCCCAATCTACAGCAGTCCTCTGGCCTTTTCTCGGTGCCCCTCTTTACTTCCTCCCAGGAAACCTGGCTGGCCACATCCCCAGGACCTCTCAGGTAAAGCCCTCATCATCTGAAGGGGCATTCAAACAGACTCACCGTCTATCTGACAGTCATCACTAGCACAGGGCTGATCCTTCCAAACATGCCATGTGGTGTGTACAGGGTACGTGAGCAAAGGAGGGGGGCAGGTTGCCTAGAGAGTGCTAACGCAGACCCCTGGAACACCCTTCAGCAGACCTATTGTGTTCCAAGCTCTGACGTTCTGACCTCTCCTCCTCCTGAGGTTCGTCTTTACGCTAGGAGGACTCAGCTGCCATGGGACCTCAGCCTAGTTCCAACATGGGGCCAGCACCATCTTGAAAAGCTAAAAGGACTTGTCACTCCTAGGCTGACAAGAGTTCCAGTTCTGGTCTTGGACCTGAGCACTCCACAAAGCTCAGGGGAATGGGCCCACAGCGTAGGGAAGGAGGGTAGGAAAAATACCTCACCCATCCGTGTCCCTGTATTTAATACTCTGGCATACCAGGAGACTGGTGCATCCTGGGCACACACAACCCTCGCTGGTCCTCCTGGAAAGACTGAAGGCATGGTCCACAGGCATGTGCACCTGGTGGGCATCTGGCCCGCCTCTTCAGGGCACAATCCAGGCTTCCAGGACAGGTGGGAGCATCTGAGGAAGAAGCAGAGGAGGCACGGCCTATCACAGCTCGCTTGGCTGGGTCTCAGCGCAACAGCAGCCCTGTTCAGAAACCCTTTCCTTCACAGAGCTGGCCTGGCCTGTCTCCGGTCATTGTTCCAGGCAGACTCTGCCTTCCTGCTGCCAAGTCTCAGAAGCAGGAAGCAAACAGCTCCAAGTCTTATAGGAACTACCCTGTCCCATCCACCCCTCACAGTCCTGCTTCTAGGCCTAAGCCTTACCCTTCAAGGAGAACTGACCCTTCCTGTCCAGTCAGCCTCCAGGGCAGGACTGTATAGTCCTCCAAGGCTGGTTTTAGACCTATGTGTGGCCCAGCGTAAGCCAGGACCTTTTATCCAGGTTGCTACTGAGGACAGAGCAAAGGATGTTGGGTAGCCATTTCTCCTAAACACTGGTGCTTCTCCCTAGCTCCCATCACATAATCCTGTAACCCTAGGGAATAGATTGCCGGGCCACAGAACACAATCACTCTCCCTGCCTAGCCTTCGTCTAAAGCAGAGAGAAGCCACTGGGTTTGGGAGACCTAAGATGGAGCTGGCTAGACACAACGAGGGCATTGAAAGGCCTGCGCTGATCAGCACTAGAGATGCCGGTCTAGATCATAGCTCCTAGTCACATTTCCTGTCTTCCTCATTTGGGGCCCAGAGCATGACGTTCTGCTTATACATGCCAATCAGTACCGTGCTGATGCAGGTAGATAGAGCAGTAACCCTCGTGCCTCAGTTTCTCCTGTGGGGTATATAAGTTCAGTTTCTTCAAAGCTAAGGAATAGTTCCAATCTGGGACCCCGGCCCTTGTCTCTGGAAGTCAGCAAAGCCAAGGAACACCCAGCAGAATCATCGACCTTGACTGGTAAGTATCTCTGGCCAACTGGATCCTTCTTCTCCTTAGCCCAGCCACCACCGCACACTGCAGGCAAAGCCATTAGGGCCCCCTGGGATGTGGAGAACATTCCGCAGCCTTTGGCTTAGTTTCCTTTGCAATGTGACACTCTACATCTCCTGCAAAGAAGTCCCAGCAGCCCTGGTGGCAGGTGGCACACTGAATCCCAGGCCAGGCACCTTCTATCCTCCATAGCTGGGTCAGCAGACTCCAGTGACAGCAATCTGGGCTTGGGGTAGTTAAACATTAAACCTGTACTGGGAGGTTTACATGGACTCCACCCACCAGCTAGGCTCCACGGAGCCAGACAGTCCCTGCCCCTGGTGCTGAGAACTTAGTCAGACCTCTATACTAGAGGTGTGTCGCACAAGGCTGGTTTGGGGCTGCAGGACCTCCCTAGCCCACCGGTCTGTTGTTTAATCTTGGACAGAAAGACCCTCTCTAGCCTGGGTGTGACGAGGAGGTCCCAGAAACAATGGCAACTGGAGAGTAACTAGTGTTCTACCCATTCGGGGTCTGGCCTCTCCTGGTCACTAGATGTGATAAGGGGATGCTTAGATATGGGTCATGCTAGGTCTCTACATCCAGCTACAGTGACCAATGAGCAGAGGCCAGCACCTGCCCAAGAAGGGGTTGAGAGCTGCCCCTGTAGTCCCATTCTATTTTCTTTTCTTTCTTTTCTTTTCTTTTTCTTTTTTTTTTCTTTTTTGTTTTTTGTTTTTCGAGACAGGTTTTTTTCTGTGTTACAGTTCTAGCTATCCTGGAATTTGCTTTTAGACCAGGTTGGCCCTGAACTCACAGAGATTCACCTGCCTCTGCCTCCCGAGTGCTGGGATTAAAGGCGTGCACCACCACCGCCCAGCTAGTCCCATTCCTGAGGCGGCTCCACCTGGGAGGCAGGCAGGTGGCCTGTACTACCTCTGGCAATGCCTGGTCTGGCCCTCACGCTCCCCAAGAGTCTCTTCCAGTCAGGCCAACCTTCAGTCCAGGGTTGCTTGCCCAGTAAGAGGCCTGCCCAGCTCTTGAAGGCCCCACATTCAGAACAATCTCGTTAGAGTCCCAGTTGTGCCACATACCAGTCACCTCTCTGTGCCTCAGTTTCCTCATCTGTAAGCTGGGTTCAAAGCACCTCCCCTTCAGAGCTCCAGAACTGAACAAGTATATGAGCGCCCTCTCCCACTTCGCCCCCTTCAGGGAAATACGATTTGGATCCTGTAGCTTCAGGACCCATCTGGCAAGAGTGATTTCCCAGACTGGGCTCTTTTGAGGGGTAAACACACAGACCTCAGTCCAGAAGACAGGGTGGCACGTACCCTTCAGGGCAGGGAATGGTGGCAGCTTGACTGCACTAAGTTAGAACAAGACCCTAGTGGGCCTGGAACTCTTAGACTCTGCCATGGGATCCCCCAGATAAGGCTGACAGCAGCAAGGCCCACAGACACCGGGAACAACCCTAGCATTTGGAAAAACCAGAGACACAGAAACAAAGACATAGGATCCCCTCTGAGGGACACCGAGAACCAGATGGCTGCAGACGCCCAGAAAGGCATCCGGAGACACACGCCGAATAGGCTCAGGGACCCAGAGACAAAGACCAGAAGCTCGTGAAATCTACATTCGCCTCCAGGGACCTGAGACGAAGACTCATCCAGCCTGGCCTTCAACGGGCCTGACCTGTTTACCCAATCCAGTCCCAGCGGACCGGGCCTGCCTGAGGGCCCGGGTGAGGCCAGGGCGGTGGCAGGGAGGACGAGGGTGGCGCCGGGTGGTAGGATTCCCCGCCCGGCGATCCCAGCTCCGGAGCGCCCCGCAGCCTGCGCCCAGAGCGATAGCTCACCCGGGCGGCGGGCGGTGGCACCTTTCAGGGCCGCTCCGAGGATGAGGCCGGAGAGCAGCAGCCGCAGTAGCCGCAGGTGCCGCGAGGAAGGCGGAGGAATCGGCGTCGCCATGCTTCAGTACCACCAGGGCAGCATGGCACCCCTTGGCCCGGGGCTCAATACCGGCTCCGGGAACCGTGACTGGAGAAGCCGGGAAGCGGGAGGGGGCGGAAGAGGAAAAGAAGAGGAGGCGGCGCTGACGCTGCGGCAAAGGATCCGGGATGGGATGGAGGCTCGGCGGTCAGAGAAACGTGTAGGGAGTGCGCCTGCGCGCTCCACCTGCGGGGGCGGGACATCTCCAGACTGAGCCCCCTCCCTCTGCGTCCTGTTGGGGGGTCCCCTTTCTACAGGCGACTAAGTGTCTCGGGCCCTCCCGCCTTTACGGCATGATGCCTCCTTATTACCCAGAAATGTGGTTTGGGATTGACCAGGAGTGCGCAATCCAGGATGCGTACCTTTCTCTTAGTGGTCCGACTGCCAAACCCTAGCCGCCCACTCTTTCAGAGCGGAAGACCTTGTACTAGGGGAACACAAGCTTTGGCTGTCCTGGAACTTGCTATGTAGACCAGGCTGACTGTTGCAGGTTTGCAAAATGTATTAAACAAATGATAAACAGGTGCATAGAGTCGCACAGGTGCACTCAGAGCCGCCTCCGGGCTTTCTAATCCACGAAGTAAAGCAAACACAGCAGGCTCACTAGATCGCTTCTGACGCCAGCCAGACTTGTTTCCGAGTGACTCCACCAGAGGGCAAAAGTAAATTTGACGTCGCTGCTGACAGGCGTCTGGGAGCTGTCCAAGGTGGTCACTGTCCCAGGTAATGGCTTTTGTTTTCCTTGAGTCGCACAACGTGGAGCATCCACAGTGTCTCGTATTTACTCTTCAGTTACAATCGCCTGAGAACACACCCCATCCCATCCAGAGACCGCTCCCCGACGAAGTCAAGAAAGCAAGGTTGAAGCTAAGTGTGGTGGCGGACTCCTTTAATCCCACCATTCAAGAGGCAGAAATAGGGAGCTATCTGTGAGTTTGAGACCAGCTTGCTCTACCTATCAAGTTCCAGGACAGCCAGGGTTACATAGTGAGACCCTGTCTTAAAAATGTAAAACAGAAGAAAAAAAATCTTGCGGGGCACTGGTGGCGCACACCTTTAATTTCAGCACACGGAACGCAGAGGCAGGCAGATCTCTGAGTTCAAAGTCAGCCTAGTCTGCAGAGCAGCTCCAGGACAGTCAAAGGTACACAGAGAAACCCTGTCTCGAAAAGCAAAGCAAAACAAAACAACAAAACCACAAAACAAAGAAAAGAGCAAGGTTCAGTTCCCCAGCCCTGCGGTTCTTTCACTCCCTCGGGTTCATGGTGTCAGAGTGGAGACTTGCTCCGGCAGGTTAACAAAATGTATCAAACAACGGCACCGTGTGTGCGCATGCGTGTGCACCCCCAACCAGCCCTAAAACACCGAGAGAACAGAAATTGTGTCTGAACTCATTTCCCATAAAAGGGGTAGAGGAGAATTACATACCCAGGCCATTCTTTTCTGCCCGGAGGACACAGAAGCTAAGTGTGGAATGAAGGGCTGCTGACACTTCGGGAGCCTCTGCAGTCGGGGGGGAAACACCTCGGGGTGCATCCTCAATTCCTACCTATCATCAAGGGGGACCTGAGGTTTGTTAGGGTTCTGTCAATCAGAGAAGAATCAGATTCGAGGACAACCCAGACCAGTGTAAAGGAGTTCCTTCGTTGCCTCAGAGCTGGTTCAGAAAGGAAGGAAGCAAGAAAAGACAGTATCTTGGAACCAGGGCTAGAGCGGAACAACCGACAGCTGGAAGGAGGAACAGCAGAAGGATGCCCCACCCTATGAACACTTCACTGCTCTAGGAAAAATCGTTTATTATAAATTTTTTTACAAGTAGGCATTGAAGGGACTCCTAGCCTGTAGTCGGCTCTGGTGGTTGCCTATCTAAAGGCCCAGAGTACGCACAGGAAATTCCCAGGACCGTGAAGATCAGAACAAATGTCCCTCTCTGAGCGGACCTCACCCTGAGTCACAGACTGAGAGACTTGACACCCCAGGGAGAGAGTGGGCAGGAAATACTTGAGAACTGCCGGCTGGAGAAAACTGCAGGGGCCTACTACCAAGGCTTCCCCATGAATGTAGATATAGGGGTGTCGATCCGCAGGCTGACTCAGGGTCAGGGATGCCCTGGGGAGTCGGGAGCAGCTCCCAGTGCACCCCTAGAGGGCGCCTGGAGACTTGGCCGAGCGCACCTGGCGCAGAAGCAGGACCAGCGCCGCCAAGAGCAGGACGGCGAAGAGCAGGAGGAGAGCGACCCAGGAATTGAAGTGAGTTCCTTTACGTAGTCTCGGAAGGTCAGCGGGAATCAGGTTGGTCAAATTCAGCATGTAGCCCAGCGCCCAGCCAACAGCCGTGTCTGCGGCCTAAGAGGGGGCGTGGCGTCAGCTTCCAAGAGACCGCGCCCCGAATCCTCCGGCCCCACCCATCACCCACCTTCTTTTGGAAGACCACGCCGCTGAAGGAGCGCTCGTCGAAGCCATAGCCGCGGCTTAGTAGCTGTTGTATGAACATGGCTCCGGCGCAGTAGTCAGCCAGGCGGGCCTGCTGCCTTGGCACTCGGGCCTGAAGCTAAGAAGAGAGCAAGACATCGTTAGATTAAGAACCACGAGGAGCAATGGCCCACGGGGTGCGGCGCCCTCCCTACAGCTCAGGCTAAGAGAGGCCTATGGCCGGAAATACACAGAAAGACCTAGTCCAAAACGCCCTTCCCAGACAGATACTCCTCTGGGAGAAACCACATGACTGCTGGAAGGCCTTGTGTCCTCCTTCCAACAGCCAGATGGAGAGGACAGCAAGGATAGCCACTAGGAAACACACCCTTGCTTCATAATCAAAGGAACAGACGGCCAGCCTCGAATGCTGCTCTCTGACGGCTTGGTCCCACTTTTCTGAGACCGTCAAGGGTGCCTAAGACAAGGAGAACTTGTTTCTCCGGAGATTTAGAACCCACTTCACACTCCAGCTATCCAGACTTCTCTATTCTTCCTTACCTGGAGCTAGTATTCAGGCAGTGGCCAGAACCAGAAATCTAGTGGCATCTTCAACTCCTCTGGGGCATACCCCAGGCCCTGCTGAGTCTCTCCTGAGTGTTCTTTTCCAGCTGGTGAGACATGCTGTTCCACACTCTCTCCCAGACACCTGCCTGTCTGTCTCAGCCTACTTTGAATTCTCTGTTGCCACGGAGCCTTTGCAATACCTGTCCCCAAAAGACCTGCTCTCTAGACTTTGGCTGCAAGCTCAGGCCTTAAGGGGACCACTACATTTTAAGCTTGCCCAGCCCCAGGTCCCCCCACATTAGCCTGGCCCTTTCTGAAGTCTGTCTATGGCAGTCAGCATTCTGAAATGACTGGGTCTCTTTCTGGGTACAGCAAATGAATGGCCAAGCCTCCTGCCCAGCCATGGAAGCTATGGGGAACAGATCTCACCTCAGCCCAGGTCTGGTTACAGACGGTCTCCGCGGCTGCCTCCAGCTGCTGCAGGGTGCCCACAGGCAGCCCCATCGCCGTCCTGAGGAAGTCCACGGTGTAGTAGAATGCAGAAAAGGCCTGTGGGAGGAAGAGTTGTACAGTCCACCACAAGACCCCAGATGCTTAGTGCCCCCTGCCCCCACACCCATCTACCCAGACTCACTATGAAGTTCCCCGTCACAGGCGGCTGGAAGACCCCATTGAAGGAACACCGGGAAAAGGGGCAGGAGGAGACGTTGAAGAGCCCAGAGACTAGGTCACGGCAGAGGGCGGGGCTGCTGGTCCCCGAAAGGCTGATAAGGGCGCTGCTGTTGAATACGTGAGGACGCAGGTCCATGGTGCATGGTGACCGGTAGACATCCCGGAGCAGCACTTGGGTAGAATAGCCCTTCGGCCAGCAGGGGTGGAAGTGATGGATCTGGGGAGTTAACCAGAGCACAGATAGACTTTCCCACTCTGGCTGCTGCCCCCCCCCCCCCCGCCAGAGAAGTCACATGATGAGCTGCCCACAGAGCCAATGTGGGCGACTCCCCTGATGTGTTCATGAACAATCATGGCTAACTCTTATCTGCCTGAAGAAACAGTAAACACTTCGGCCAGGTATTCAAGGTTCTGTGAGGTGACGCTTGGCTCTCCTTACTCTAGACCTCTATTCCTGACCCTTTATCCTATTGAGTTCCTCCCCACCCATCTTTAAGCTGAGGCACACCCAGCTGGAGAAGCCCTGGTCAGGCGATCTGGTGGTTGCGGCTGAAGGCAGACACCATCATGGAGGTCTGACCCACTGTGGACATCCATGTAAAAAGAGGCCTCTTTTACAGTCCCTGCGGTCAGTATGAGCTGCTTCCCTGGCTCTGCTCTGTTGCCTCGGGTTCCTTCTGCTTCCCTTCCTCAAGGAGGCATTAGTGTGGTATGGTGGCTGAGGTTGGAAAGGCACCTTGAGGGCACTGGCCAGCAGCCTCTGGAGAACCTGGTCTCGGCCGTAGCAAAGGAAGCTGTGTGTGTAGACTCGGTAGTGTTGGCCATAGAGCCGCAGATGGACCTCACTGTCTGGATCTTCAGGTGGGCTGGTCGTCTCAAAGGTGATCTGTGTTGAGGCACCCCCAAGGTCCATGGCCCCCAGCGTTCCCTTCCTTGGCCGGATCCACCGGCCCACCCAGCCATACTGTGGGAAGGCAGAGATCAGGATAAGAGAGTGGGCAGGCAAAGCCCACCGGACCCCGGGCCCTTTGGGCCAGCTGCAGGGCCCACCTTGATGAAGTTCTCCAGCAGGTAGTTGGCAGTCACCCAGCCAAACACCCCTTCATCCTGTCCCGAGAGGATTCGAGCACCGCGGAAGTCAAAGGGGTACCGTGTAAGTGTCTGTGTCACTGCCTCAAGCACCCTGGCTGTGGCCTCTGGGCTGGTCAGGCTGTGGAATGGGGAGGACTCTGATGGAACTCATCCCCAGACACCCTTGCCCAGGGAGGGGAGTTCTTCTCTGTCGAAGGGCTGTGAAGGCCCCTGGGCCCAGTCGGTGTAAAGACTCACTTGAGTAGACGCATGCCTGCCGTTGCTCCCAGGTAGAGCGGTGTGCCGGCATGTCTGTCTTTGGGCACATCCCGAAGCGCCTGTTCAAGACATTCAACCAGACTCTGGCCCGCCCTGGAAGGGTCATTTGCATAGCTGGAGATGCCCCCACCTAGAGGGAGCAAGGAATTGGGTCCAG